TTTTCAATCGAGTAATGGCGAGCACATGAAATGCATTGATAATTAATTATTTAACTCGGCTAAGTCTTCGGAGGAGACCGATATATCGTAACAGAGAAGATGCTTTTAGTCTTCATGACGATGTATTTTTAGATTTTTTTCGATTGTCGAAAAATCTTGTACAGTATTTATGAGTGGAATTAAGAGATGAATTTGGAAAAAGAAGCAAGGCGAGGAAACGTGATTTCAGTAGAAACACAAGTAAGTTCAACTTAAATATGCTCATGCTATTTAAAATAAATTATCTTCTGTTTGTTAAATAAAATTAATTGAATTTAATTTTTCTTTGCTATATGCGAATAAATAGGTAATTTTGGGGTTGTTTAGTATATTTGATGAACTTAGTAGGTAAAATTGTAAATGTTAATTTTTTTCTGACTAAAAATTTTGTAGAATTTTTTATTTTTTAGATTATTCTGTAAATAATAAATATTGATGATCAATAACCAGAAATTGTCTCAATTTTCTTGTTAAATTATGCTTTTTATTTCATATTTTTTAAAAAAAAACTAAGACGATGTAATTTTTATTGGCTTTAAAATTAATAAAATAAAAAGTACCTTTTTTATAAAATAAAAGTAAAATTAATAAAATAAAAGTAAATAAAAAGTTACCTTTAGTTTCTTTCATTTCCGAAACAAGGTAGAAAAATTTAACTTCGAAGTATTTCCTTTTTTAATCAATATGGAAAAGGTATGATTACAAAGTGTTTTTGAACTTTAATTTCAAGAAAAAAATATAATAATAATAATGTTTTCACAATCTCACATGCTTATGTGAAACTTTTTTCTTAATTCTTTTCAAGAAATAAAAAAAAATTTTCATTTCAAATAGTGAAATTTTTATTCTTGTAGGTATTGTTTACATTATTTCCAGTAAGAAAGATTAACTTTAAAACTAAATTACTTTTAGGTACTATTTAACTTGCAACGTGGAATATTTAAAAAGAGCTACTATTCGTAACTGTTTATTACATTCATAGGCTTTATGTGCATTAAGATTTTTTGCAACTGGCTCATACCTAAGGTGACCAGACGTCCCGTTTTGAACGGGACTGTCCCTTTTTACAATTACGAGTCCCGGCGTCCCCGAAATGGACTGTGGGACGCATAATTGTCCCGTTTTCAGAAACCGCGCAAAAATTTGAGTAGCAGACGACCGGCAACCGCCCTGCTCGTCGCCGTGAGCTAGCGGTGTGCGAGAGCGAGACCGCGTCATCGTCGACGCAACGATAGCGGCCAAGACGTTGTAGTACCCTCTATGTACCAACTGAATTCTCAATTTGAATGTAGCGCCATCTATCTTGTTAGAGTACGTTGAAATCATAAACTATAACTTTCACTCTTATATATTCTGTTCTATAAGTTTCGATTTGTGTTTTAGAGCGTCGTTGTTGTTAAGTTTTATCGAAATAAAAGTTTGTTATTGAAATCAATTGCCTTTTAACGTTTAAATAATCTACACTCCTTTAACGTCGCCACAACTTCATATCGCTCGTGTTTTGTTGACTTATTGACTATTGTTTGACAAACTTTTCATTTGCCCACTTCTCGCTATTTGTTTGATGCTCGTGTAGTAAATAATTTAAATTTCTTTTGCTTTGGAATCACAAGTTGAAATGCCGAAACGCAAGTGTTCGTTCAATGTTAGGTTACAAGAAAAATATTCGTTTATCAAGCAAATTAATACTCCATCAGATGTCAGATGTGAAAGTGTCGTACAGAACCCACAGTGGTGGCGATGATATTGAACAGCATTTAAAGTCTGACAAACATAAAAATGCCGATCGTGCTGCCGCTACGAGTTTTTTGATGTTAAACTTTTTCAAGAAATCGGATGCGCCAACATTGAAGGACTTGGATATCGCCACGGCAGAAAGCGTCTAGGCATATCACACGATACAAGAAAACCACAGTTTTCGTTCTAATGATTGTGCATCGAAATTGATTCAATCATGTTTTGATCCCAAATTTACATGGGCGTGTACGAAACCAGAAGCTATTGTAGTAAATGTTTTGACGCCTACAGCAATGAAAGAATTAAAAGATGACCTTGATACGCGCAATTGTATTACAATACTAAACGACGCGTCAAACCACGGTAACAAGAAAATATACCCCATTGTAGTGCGCTTTTTTCAACCTTACGTAGGTGTGCAAGTAAAAATTTTAGATTTCCAAGACCAAGCAAAAGTCGTAGCATTTTGTGGGGACTATTCCAACGTCATTTTCGGAGGTGCAGTTAGGGGAGGAACTAACAATGTATTAACGAAATTACAATCATCTCTGAAAAAAGAATTTATAGGTATTGGATGTGGAGTCCATGTAATTCACAATGCAATAAAATCTGCTGCAGATGGGCTACCCGTAGATTACGAAAGCGTTATTGTGAATATATATTCATTTTTTTATATTTATACGATTCGAGTTGAAGCTCTAAAGGAGTTTTGTGCCGAAACTGAATATCAACAAATGCTCGGCTATAGCAAAACTAGATGGCTTGCTCTTATGCCTGCTTTAAAGAGGGTTTTAAAAATGCATCAGACGTAAAAAAGCTACTTTTTGAGTCTTGAAAAATGTCCCCTGTTACTAAAAACTTTTTTGAAGATCCCACATCCGAATAGTGGTTTTATTTTTTACACGCTCAGTCAGCAAGTTTTTATCAAACTGTCTTAAAACTTGAAGTTCAGACTGTATCGGCAATTGAAGCTGCAAAACAAATCAATCAATTTAAAGACAATTTAACTCAGAAACAGACCAATCAAATTTTTCCATTTATGATCCGTCAATTAATGTTAAAATTGAAAGATAGTGGTACTGATATTGATGAAGAATTTGTGAAAAGGACGGCTACAGAATTTTATAAAACAAGCCGTGAATATCTGGAGCAGTTGACTTGCTTTCTTACCAAAGAAATGGAAATATTTTATTGGGCAGATTTAAAAAAGGTCCCCACATGGGAAGACATTAAAAAAACTCTGTATTAATTGAAAAGCAATACATTGACTGTAATAAAGATACTGAAGTTTTTGACGAATTTTCATTAATTTCTAATTACATTACATGCAAAAAATAACGGAATGGAATAATTTAAATGTTTCCATGGAAACCCGTTGACCCGTCAAACACTTTCGGGCCAACAATCTTCAGCGTAAAAATTTTTCTATTGTAATTGAATATATTTTATGTTTGCCTGCTACAAATGTTCCAGTAGAAAGAGTATTTTCTACTATGAACAAATTGTGGACATCTGAGAAAACCCAGTTACAAATTTCAGTTCTAAGGCGATGTTGATAATTAAGGAGAATATAAAAAAAATTGCCAAGAGTTTCATTCTTACTTGAAATCGTCACCAGCTATATTAAAACAAATTTGTTCTTCTGTCAAAAAATAAATGGTCACGTTAGTCATAATGCATGCTGCCGAAGTTAGCATACCAAAAACATCTACCTCTTTACGCTTTAAACCCGGGGGATTTACGATACTGTGTATTCGCCCCTTCATATTAATGTTATTATTGGCTGTTATTTTTTTTACCAAGCATACGCTTGGATATATTATTATTATTGAATTTTAAATATTAGTATCACACATTATGTAGCCATCTCCTTACAAAATGGATATTATTAAAGAACAGATATCAATTATTACGAGTTTTCATAATCGGCTTATCTAAACCAGTTTTTATTTTATTTTTTCTATTCATTTTATTTATTTTTATATTTAATATATTATGCCGAAAGTAGATCAGAGTTGTTGCTTTGAGATTAAAATCTACGTCATCCACGCATGCGCAGCGTCAGCCGGCCATTTTAAAAACAGGTGTTTAAATGTAAAATTTGGGGGAGAAAAAACGTTTATTAAAACGTCAAAGGAAGACAGGTTATTTCAAAAAGGTATGTAGTTTTTAAAATCAAAGGATTGCTTGTTTTTGAGATATTAAGGTTTTCCTGCGAACGAGTGAAAAATCTCCATAGACCGTAATGTTATCGGATTCGGAGAGGACAACTGAAATATTTCGATGAAAAAGGTCCATTGTTCCCAAATGTTCTCGAGGTACATGTAGGTATTGAATGTGG